CTGAGAGATATTGGGGGAATTTTGGGCAATTTCAGGGGGTCCTGGGGGGATTTTGGGGCATTTTGGGGGAGATTTTGGGGGTCTTGGGGTAGATTTTGGGGGTCCTGGAGGACTCTGAAAAGCCCCAAAGTGACCCGGGGGGGTTTGGGGTCCCCGGGGTGAATTTGGGGTGCCCGGGGGGGGTCCCGCTGCCCCCCCCAGCCCCATTTCCCCCTCCCTAGCTCGGTGGTCGTGGGCAGCGCCCGGGGGGACATGGCTGTGATCGACCTGCGCAAAGGTGAGGGGGGCGCTGAAGGGGCTCGCGGGGGGGGTCCGGGGGCTGCAGTGCCACCCCCGCCTGCCCCTCGTGGCCTCCGTGGGCCTCGATCGCTTCCTGCGCGTGCACCGGCTGGACGGGGGGCTGCGGGACAAGGTGGGCACCCCCAAACCCCCTGGGACCCCCAAAACCACCCCAAAAACCCCTTGGGACCCCCAAACCACCCCAAACTCTGGGAACCCCAAAACCACCCCAAAAACCTCAGGAGGAGCCCCCTCCCCAAAAAGGGGTGAAGGACGAGGAGAGGGACGAGCTGTGGGACGCTCTGGAGTCCATCCCCACCCCCAGGAGGGGCAAGAAAAGGAAAAATTCGGGGATTTGAGGGGTCCCGGGACCCCCCAAAATCCCACCACGCCCCCTCCCCCGCTGTATATAACGTCCGACGTCAGGGAAATAAACGGAATTTTGGAGAAAAAAAAATTGGGAATTTTGTGGGAAATTGGGGCTGGGGGCATGGGGAGAGCACAAAGGGATTTTGGGGGCGCGGCCCCTTTAAATCGTTAACCCCGCCCCTCAAGGGTTTAGCCCCGCCCCCAGGAGCTAATTTTACTAATTAGCATCTCAATAATTAGGATTGCCCCAGCAGGGGGTTTTGGGGTGATTTTGGTGCTTTTTTTGGGGTATCCAGGGGTGACACTGATGTCACCGAATCGTGGCTGCTATCGCGATAGAGCAGTGATAATTATTAATGAATGATTAATCTAACCTGGTTTTGATTAATTAGATTGGGGTAATTAATTAAATCGGGGATGACATGCAGAGCAGGGAGGAGGCTGCAGGAGCGACCCCGAGTGACGGCAGCGTGGCTCATATCGCGATATAAAGGCGATAATCGCGATTAATCGCATTTCTGATCGATTCCTGACCATGAGGTCCCTCCAATGCCGGGCTGCTATCGCGATAGAATCACGATTCACTCTGTTTTTCACCGATAAAGGTCCCCGGTGGGGTGCACCGTTCCCGGAGGCACTGCAATGCCGGGCCCATATCGCGATAGAATCACGATTCACTCTGTTTTTCACCATTTCAGTCCCCGGTGGGGTGCACCGTTCCCGGAGGCACTGCAATGCCGGGCCCATATCGCGATAGAATCACGATTCACTCTGTTTTTCACCGATAAAGGTCCCCGGTGGGGTGCACCGTTCCCGGAGGCACTGCAATGCCGGGCCCATATCGCGATAGAATCACGATTCACTCTGTTTTTCACCGATAAAGGTCCCCGGTGGGGTGCACCGTTCCCGGAGGCACTGCAATGCCGGGCCCATATCGCGATAGAATCACGATTCACTCTGTTTTTCACCGATAAAGGTCCCCGGTGGGGTGCACCGTTCCCGGAGGCACTGCAATGCCGGGCCCATATCGCGATAGAATCACGATTCACTCTGTTTTTCACCGATAAAGGTCCCCGGTGGGGTGCACCGTTCCCGGAGGCACTGCAATACCGGGACGATGCGCGGAGCGGAGGGAGCAAGCTCCGGGTCCAACTCCCGAGCCCAAAAATCCGTTTAATATAAAGTCCTCTCATCGAGGACGTATCAGATATTAAACTGATAAGAACAGATACTACACTTGATCTTAGCCAAAAGGCCGAGAAGCGATGCCCGAGATCCCCCCGCCGCCGAGCCTGGCCCTGCCCGGCCCGCCCGTACCTCACGGACACCCCCGCGCCGCGCCCGCCGACCTCCCCGTGCCCTTCCCGGCCTCTCTCCCAGCCCGGCCCGCACTTTCCTCCCGATTTTTCCCACTCGCGGAGCCCAAAAATCGCGGAATTCTGCCCAATTTAAGCTCCCATGATGCCCTTGGTGGCGCGCTGGCGCTGATTTGCATGATTGCCGCCTTTGATGTGCGTAACTCCGCCCCCTCGCTCACCCGTTCTCTGCCGCTCAGCTGTTAAAAGCCACGCCCCCTAAGCCTTCATCTCGTGATCTGATTGGACGAGCGGGGGCTTTGATTTGCATTGGCCACGCTCGTTGTTATGAACCCAGCATCTCATTAGCATAACCACGCCCATTAACCAATCTGATCGCAGTGAGTGATTCTCTCATCTCGCACGATCCGACCCCCAAAAACCCCCAAATCCCCCCCAAAAACCTCTCTCCCAGCATGCCTTTCTCTCCCTGTTGGCTGCTGTTTTGCATAACCCCGCCTCTCCGCCCGGATTGTTTCGCGTCACTAGTTTATTAGCATAATAACACGCTGATATTTGCATATTCATATCTCAGTCCGGATTTGCCCCGTCCCTTTTCTCACCAGCGGCTCTGGGGCTGGGGGGTCCGGTGTAGGAGAATTGGGGAGGTTTTGGGGGTCCCGCGTTCCCTCCCAGGGGGATTTTGGGGGGCACCGCAGGGGGCGTTTCCGGCACCGCTCGGCTCCCCCGATCTCCTCATAATCGGAATCATTCGGGTATTTCCGGCAGGGTTCCGCTCCCCCGGCCCCCTCATAATCGGAATCATTCGGGTATTTCCGGCAGGGCTCGGCTCCCCCGGCCCCCTCATAATCGGAATCATTCGGGTATTTCCGGCAGGGTTCCGCTCCCCCGGCCCCCTCATAATCGGAATCATTCGGGTATTTCCGGCAGGGTTCCGCTCCCCCGGCCCCCTCATAATCGGAATCATTCGGGTATTTCCGGCAGGGTTCCGCTCCCCCGGCCCCCTCATAATCGGAATCATTCGGGTATTTCCGGCAGGGTTCCGCTCCCCCGGCCCCCTCATAATCGGAATCATTCGGGTATTTCCGGCAGGGTTCCGCTCCCCCGGCCCCCTCATAATCGGAATCATTCGGGTATTTCCGGCAGGGTTCCGCTCCCCCGGCCCCCTCATAATCGGAATCATTCGGGTATTTCCGGCAGGGTTCCGCTCCCCCGGCCCCCTCATAATCGGAATCATTCGGGTATTTCCGGCAGGGTTCCGCTCCCCCGGCCCCCTCATAATCGGAATCATTCGGGTATTTCCGGCAGGGTTCCGCTCCCCCGGCCCCCTCATAATCGGAATCATTCGGGTATTTCCGGCAGGGTTCCGCTCCCCCGGCCCCCTCATAATCGGAATCATTCGGGTATTTCCGGCAGGGTTCCGCTCCCCCGGCCCCCTCATAATCGGAATCATTCGGGTATTTCCGGCAGGGTTCCGCTCCCCCGGCCCCCTCATAATCGGAATCATTCGGGTATTTCCGGCAGGGTTCCGCTCCCCCGGCCCCCTCATAATCGGAATCATTCGGGTATTTCCGGCAGGGTTCCGCTCCCCCGGCCCCCTCATAATCGGAATCATTCGGGTATTTCCGGCAGGGTTCCGCTCCCCCGGCCCCCTCATAATCGGAATCATTCGGGTATTTCCGGCAGGGTTCCGCTCCCCCGGCCCCCTCATAATCGGAATCATTCGGGTATTTCCGGCAGGGTTCCGCTCCCCCGGCCCCCTCATAATCGGAATCATTCGGGTATTTCCGGCAGGGTTCCGCTCCCCCGGCCCCCTCATAATCGGAATCATTCGGGTATTTCCGGCAGGGTTCCGCTCCCCCGGCCCCCTCATAATCGGAATCATGATCTGGGGGGTTATGGGGGTCCCCAACGCCCAAAAAATGGGGGGAACCCCCTGGAAGGGGGAGGGGGACCCCCAGGAAAGGGGGGGAGGTGAGGGAGGGGCGGTCTGGAGGTGATTGGAGGGTTGTTTTTGGGGAGGTGAGCGGTGTTTGGGGGGTGATGGGGGGTTACCGGGGGCTGGGGCTGTTTTGGTTGGGATCGTGGCAGTTTTGGGGTGTTGTGGCAGTCTTGGGGGTGCTGTGGGTGTGTTTTGGGGTGTTTCTGGCTGTTTTGGGTGGGATCATGGCAATTTTGGGGTGTTGTGGCTGTTTTGGGGGTGCTGGGGGTGTGTTTTGGGGTGTTTCTGGCTGTTTTGGGTGGGATTGTGGCAGTTTTGGGGTGTTTCTGGGGGGCTGTGGCTGTTTTGGGTGGGATCATTGCAATTTTCAGGTGTTTCGGGTGAGATTGTGGCAGTTTTTGGGTGTTTCTGGCTGTTTTTGGTAGGATTGTGGCAGTTTTGAGGTGTTTCTGGCTGTTTTGGTTGGGATCATGGCAGTTTTGGGGTGTTGTGGCTGTTTTGGGGGGGCTGTGGCTGTGTTTTGGGGTGTTTCTGGTTGTTTTGGGTGGGACTGTGGCTGTTTTGGGGTGTTGTGGCTGTTTTGGGGGGGCTGTGGGTGTGTTTTAGGGTGTTTCTGGCTGTTTTGGGTGGGACTGTGGCAGTTTTGGGGTGTTGTGGCAGTTTTGGGGGGTTGTGGCTGTTTTGGGGGGGCCGTGGGTGTGTTTTGGGGTGGTTCTGGTTGTTTTGGGTGGGACTGTGGCTGTTTTGGGGTGTTGTGGCTGTTTTGGGGGGGCTGTGGGGGTGTTTTGGAGTGTTTCTGTGGGGCTGTGGCTGTTTTGGGTGAAATCGTGGCAGTTTTGGGGGCGTTTTCCGCCCCCTCTCCCGCCCACAGGACTTTGTCACCTGGCCCGGGGCCGTGGGGACAAAGGGCTGTGCCGGGGGGGGGACACTGGGGGTGCACTGGCAGCACCCTTGGGTGCCCCCCACCCTCGGAGCTGCCCCCCAACGACCCCCTCAAGGCCCCCCCATAATCCCCATCGCCCCAAACCTTC